ACAAAGTTATAAAAAATCATGGACCTGGGGTCAAAATTGGCTCCTCTTAGTTTATGTAAAACTGGAAGAAGCTAAGCTTCCTGTGCAGCTTGAATACACTATCGTTCTTCAAAATGAAGGTAGTGGAACATTCGACCGATGTTCAGGATAGTAGGAAAAGGTGATCCCTCAGAAGCATTAATCACAACAGAATAACATGAAAATTGCTGGAACGGTTTAATCGAGTCTCTACATGAGAGATGATGGACAGCGCAACATCCTACATGCACCTAGCACTGACTTGAGCGGTACTCAGTTACTTAAAAGTGTTGAGGGCAATAATAACAAAGACCAGAAGAATATAACAACATTGATGTGAAGTACGCGGGAGGGGGGCAACTTTTTAAAGATGCAACAAGTCATTTGACACCAGCTGTTGCGAAGCATGTTAAATATAAAATATAGAAGAAGGATTATTAAGGAAAGAACATAAAAGTTTTTCTTCCCAGAAACTACTGATCTTTGAATAGCAGTCATTAATGGACCTCTACAATATTTGTATATGTCATGAAACTGGGATCAAAATGGCAAAGCATGGGGCTCATTAACTATACTAAGACTTGTATAGTAATATATCTTATAAATCCTCTTATTATGTCTCTGAGATCAAAATAGCCATATTTGACATGCATCATTTTGTAACTGACACATTAACTTATGCAGCTTAGATAATGTGATTATTATTATATATATTATATTATATTATATTATTATATTATCTTCCAGCTTAGAAAAAGTCGCCCCGTACATTTAATCACGGATGTGATATTTCCGATCCTTATAGATCGTTCAGGACGTCATTATTATTGTGCTTGTGGTATTTTAGTTCTATCTATTCGGCATCTTTCTTTTTGGGTGGTTCCATTATTCCTCACTTTAATACTGTTGAATCACCCTTAGGATATGAGGCCTGCTTTTTAGATTTGTCTTTTGACGATATATATGTGATATACAGGCGTCATAACCTCAGATCCCCTTTCAAAATTCCATTTTATTTAGTTCCGCCCATTGTTTTCTCGTTTAGGGCACACGATTTTTTTTACTTGGGGACCATATGCCGCTTTTCATGGAATAGCACTAACGTGTAACGTTGAAAGTTCCGTGACAACCGCCATATGAACACCTCTGCGAATGTTTCAAAATTCTATATTTTACCAGTTCATTTAAACTGTTGAATTCTGCTGAAGCCGGTGCTAGGGGGTATGGACAGTCGTTTGCACTTGACTGTACCGTTCATGAACAGGCTCAAACAAACCGAGCCTGCAACATTTTCAATTTTGCCGCGTTGGACTTTCTTAAGGGATTCTTATTTCACTCTGTTTTATTAATTATTCTTGCGTTGAAGAATAGTAACGTATCAGGTGTACAATCAAGGGTCATCAATGTCCGTTTGTTTAAAATAATGAATTCTATAAAATCGTTCATAAATATTGAGCAGTCATTTGTCCTTACCTCGCCTTTCATTTGTTTTAAGTTTGATATTATTTTTTAAATATCGCATTATTTATTTATTTCATATTCTATCTTACATACCGTAGATAATTCTATGCAACGTTAATCCATTGGTATCGAAATACAAATACTGACAATAATACAATTTTTTTGCGATTTCAAAACTTACATATAATGTCACTATTTCTATTCGATGGTTGACAGTTTTTTTATTTTTTTGAAATAAACCTACCATAAATTGTTATATTTTTTTTTTTAATTTCTCTGTAGTCTAAAACGTAAAAGAGGTAGAGTGGGCCTTTTGTTTTAGAATTCCAAGGTTTTAATCCATGTAACTGGGTGTTTCTTTCTTTGATTCTTTTGTATGTACATATTTCAACTTGTATGCACGTCACGTATATCTTCTTAAACAAAATGTGTAATGTTTCTATGCTGCTTTATTTTTACACGTCTTTGCTGGCCAAAATTAATTATGCAAAACACGTGCAGAAGGATATATGTGTTGCGAAGTGAGTTTGGTTGTGTCATTATACATAGTACGCTTTCATTGTAAAATCACATTCTATGGAAAATATCAGTGAACCATTGCTCTGTTGTTACTGGCGTTTGGTTGGTAAGTCAAGTTAGAAAGAAACAGAGCTGTTGTTACAGACGTTGCCGTAGCTGTTGCTGTTGCCGTTTGAAAACATTAACGTTGGTTATTCTTTTGTATTTTTTCAATTGATTTCCTTCATAATTGTCATTACAACCTTTTGGACAATTAGTTCAAGTTGACCTGACTGAACTCGACCTTCACTTAAATGACCCTAAACTAAAAATATTTGAATTTGCTTAATGTTAAGTCTACTTGGCAATAACTTTAATATAATTACATGTATTTATTAATTGACTTGGACACTATAATCACTAGGACAATAATTCAGTTGATAATGATCATTGCATTACTTTGTAATCATTGTATGTATTTGTCTTGATACTTGTGCACAACAATTTTCGGGACAACACCATAAAGGGCACTTTATCTTGACCTTAATTTGACCATGACACTTAAGGTTAAATGTGTGAAATATTCTACAAAAATTATTATTTGGACAAAGGAAAACTTATGACAAAACACGTATGTTTAGTAATATAAAAATGATCTGAATTTATCCTTGACAATCAAACTTAAATTATTGAATTTTTCTTGAAATTTCAAAACCTTTTTTTCGTCTTACGGAAATAATTAATACTTGGGTAAATGAACACATTTGACAAAACGGACACGTTAGCATTGACCATTATGCAGATCAAGGTCAAATAATTGAATTTTACTTAAATTGTCTTATTTATTTAGTACATATTTATTCTTAGAAAAAAGAACGCACATGCAAACACTGACATGTTAAATTATTCTGATATGACCTTAACCTTAAAATGACCTGGAAAATCAATGTCTACTCAATCAAATTTGCTTAAATTGTCAAAACTTTGTTTGTTATAAATAGATCTTATTCAATATTAGGCAAAAGAACACTCATGTCAAAATGTAACATTATGACTAATTCAAATGTGACATTGACCTTTAATTAACCTTGTCAAGATCAATGATCACATTTGAGGCTGTGATTTTGAAGACCCCAGAAAAAGCATAATTTCACAACATGTCAAATAAATTGGTAAATTTTACAAACAAAAAGTAATTTCTGTATCCGTTAACAACATTCAGTGACACATTTTGATGAGAGATGTAAAGAATTTAATGGCAATTTTTCATTAGAACTAAAACAATTCACTTTTTAACTGTTGTTTAGGGGGAAAACCTTTTTGCGGCCGCCACTACAACGACATACGAATCAACATAATTGCTGCAAAATAATGTACACACAAGTTTGAAATTGATTTGGTTTATTTGCTAAGTTTTGCAATTGTTTATAATAGCAATGATACTGCAAAAGTGTTATGTTAGGTTATTTCAGGTCGATCTTTGTTTATTTCTTAAAGCAATGTTAATGATTCTATGGCATGTCTTTTTGTTTGTATTTCAAACAAGATTATCTTTAAGGTTAACAGATGGCGTGTTTTGTTCACTTAAATTTGACTTATTACGTCGGTAAAATTTGTTTAGGACATTTTTCTAGTATTTTAATCTTTATTGTTTTGTTTATCCGCAATAGTATCAAAACTTTAAAAACGTTAACATGAATTAACAAGGAAGATTATGAAAATTGTTTTGTTCTTTTGAATGCGGTAAATAAAAAAAAATAAAAAATGTGTTTTGAATATAACCCCCCACCAAAAAAAAAAAAAAAAAAAAAAAAAAGAAAAGAAAAAAGAAATTGAATTATAAGCTGTCTCTTCAAATAGGACAACCTCTGTTGGACTCTGAAGCCAAACGTTAACTCAACATAAAAATACAACAATTTATTTTGTACTTAATTACTTTGTAGATTTATGTTTACTCTCAATGTAAATTGTTTATTTTTATATACTGAATGTCATTTTAGATTTAAACAGAATCACTTAAACAAATTTAAATAGAAAGTTTATACATGGAAACAATTGGTTTGTATTATAAACATAAAAGATTTTAGATTTTTCTATAAATACAGGATTTATTTTCCTCCAGTGGTATGAAAATGAATATTTTCATGTGCATGAGAGTGAAATGTTGCTTGGTGGTCTCGTTATTTTGGCAAATAACCAATATATATCAATTAAATTCTTGTATAAAAAACTCAGTAAGTTCTGATGTTAATTAAAATGTTCACCAGAAAAATGTAATGAGATCTAAATGCAGTGTGAAATGTTTTGTGGATAGACGTAGAGTGAAACAGAACTTTAATATCTTTGAAGTTTAGCTAGGAAGTTAAAGAAAAATCGAGTATAATTTACTTAAGAAATATCCTGTACATTTTGTTCTAGAACTATTCTTTGAATTTTATTTAAGACGGGTTTAACAAAACAAAACAAACAAAACAACGTTGATATTGTTGCTTTTGAGCAAAAAAACACTCGCTTAAAAATATATTGAAAATACAAAACATTCAACTTCAAACCATAGGCTAAGCTTGTGAAACATTTTGTGTTAATGGTAACTCAAGATATTTATCTATCTTTCTAGTAATATTTTCACAGCTTCATAATAATATACATGTTAAATTATCGACGTTTTAGGTTGTTCTCTGGAAAGAATGTACATTGTTTATAGTACAAATTTAACGGAAGCTACATAAACAACAACGTCAAATGTGTAAATGTTGTTTCGAAAGCAAAGTGATAATAACATTATTTTCGAAATAAGCAAGTAATCAACATTTGCGAGGTATCTATTCAGGACGTCTAGGAAATGTCTTACATTATTTTACATTGCTTTGTTGTTATATGAAAAGAAAACGAGGAACAATTTGAGGGTTTTGTATATCTACAACGATCATTGAGTAAATAGGGGACAGCAACCACATTTATTATTTTGCTCTGGCCTTAAAAAACTTACGAGGTATATTTTTTATTATATCGGTATCAAAGTGTCATTTTGTCGTCCGGACTGTACCTTATACTGTATCACCGTTTGCATTTAGAAAAAAAAATGTTTAAATACGTTTAATCACATCAAGTAGGCTTTTCTTTTCTTTCAAAAGAAATATGCGAGAAATTATTAACTCATGTAAGTACATATTTAATTGCGTGTATCTTAAAGCTTTAAATTGAGGTAGCCAAGTGACACAATACCACAAATACTTAAAAAAGTTAATGAAAAAAGAACTGATATAAACAAAATATCAATGATCTGTTATCTGCTTGGATTTATTTTTATTCAATTTCTATTTAATATTTAGCATTGTAAGATATTTTATGGCCGTATGTTGTTTGTTTTCCTTACTTACTTATGTCTATATAAATCAACATAGACCATCTGCTGATGATCGGAGTTAAGCGGAGTCAGACTTTTAGTAAAATATACATATTTGTTAAATTATATCATTTATAAGCAAGTTAGAAAAATAGACATTCAATAAATATGATTTTAAAAACATATACACATTTTTTAAAAATAGTATTCTTACAAATATATGAAAAATGAAAAAGCAGAATTGAAAAAAGATAATAAAAACATGAAGCAAAAGTAAACATAGGTTGCAATCTTTCTTGCATGTTCATTTATCTTATTATAATTATTATTTTTAATTTGGTTTGTTTTAAAATTCAAGTGCACTTGACAATTACATACGCTTATAAGAAAATAAACCACATGAATGTGATTACTTGCAATTCTTAACTTTTATGTATACAGTTATCTTATAAGTTTGGTGAGATTTGAAAACATTCTTGTACAGAAGTAGTATTGTCTGATTTAATTGACATTTTAATTATCAATATAGTACAGCACTCATTAAAATTATACTTTTAGGTGTATTTCTATTTCTGGTTCAAGCCATCAGAATAAAAGGTTTGCACAATTTTTTAGTCTCAAAAGCAGTGAAAAATAACTGCAACTAAATCAGTCGGTTCCGATGATGAAAAACAATTGAATTGATAATGAGTTTGAATAATGTATCATCAATATTTACGACTTTTTATCATAAAAAATCAGACTTACGATTCTGAACATTTGTTAAAATGACTGCTTACTACGGAGCAAAATTTATTTTAATTCTTGCGAACAATGTTACGTGTTTTTTAGTCTTCGAAAGGTTAATATATTGATTTGCGTATGCAAACAGTGACTTGAGAAAACACTAAATATGCATTGGCTTATACTTTATCTGTCAATTTACGAAAATAATACACTTAAAATATTAGTGATGTGGTTGGAATGTGATGAAGATAATTGTTAATTTTAATTCTTGCATATAAACTTGCAATGTATTATATCACTTCTGTTTTATTTTTCATTTATTTAACACGCAGGTGATGTTTGTTTTTAAATTAAATTAGTCAAATGCCTTATTACATTATTAGCATTGTTATTTTCTTCTTTTAGCGTCAGATTGCCAAGATGATAAAAGTATGGACTGTGCAAAACTAGACAAATTGTTTGATATCTGTAAAGACATACACGATGCCAAACTCGTATGCCGTAACTTCTGTAACTTATGCAGTCTAGGTAACACCTGTTGATATTGCAGATTCTTTTTTATATGGTTAACAAATATATGATACCTTAACATTGATCTAATTATCAAACAAAATACTGAATAGAATAGATAATTAATATCCAATGCTAAGTTAATTTTTTCACCTTATTTATGAAACTGCATGACATTTCATCTCTCTCTAAATCTCTCTCTTAAAAAGTTGATGGTAAATGGGCGGATTGGTCGCACTGGTCAGAATGTGACGTCACATGCGGTAATGGTAAACATACCAGAGTCAGGACATGTACAAATCCAGCACCATCCAACCAAGGTTTAGAATGCAATGGAAAAAAGACAGACGACAAGCCTTGTGCACGTCCATCTTGCCCAGGTAATAAATATTCCATTAACACTAGAAAAAACATAGAAAAATGTAAAGAAGAAAAACATTGAAAATGGAAACATTAACGGTTGGAGAGCTTGGAATTGAAAGTGTTGTAGACTCAGTTTGTTTCAATCATTTTTGTTGGTGACACGTGAGTGGTAATGTAAGACACAACCGGTGCCCCCTTGCACCGACATAACTCGGCATTTTAAAATGAAAATTGTTCTTATTTAAACATTTAGCACACATCCACAGAAACAGTAACAGTGGTGATCGAGGACGCATTTTCAAAAGTGACGCTTGATCCCAAAGTAAAAGAATATGTGTGTCTTAGTCGGGGAATGAGGTTGAATATATGGCTACGAGGAGGTTTTAGATTCCGATATAGATACTTATTGAAATAGTGCTTGTTTTCTGTAAGGTTGTTACTTCTGATAAATCATGAAATAATGTTTTGTGATTCTAGATTCTTATTAATGATTCGAAACACACTTGTGTTTAATACTTGAATATCAGCAGAACTATTATCAAGAATATTAAAATATTTTAATTGTTTTCAAGTTCATGGAGGATGGACAAATTGGTCTAATTGGAGTGCTTGTCCAGTAACATGTGGAATAGCAATGCAAAAACGTCACAGAAATTGTTCGAATCCGTATCCTTTGCGTTATGGTGATCATTGTTTCGGAGATGCACTTGAATATAGAATTTGTGATCAGATGCTGTGTGATGGTACGTTGACCATGAAACTAAATTTAAATTCAATAGAGAACGAATAATACAAATAACATATAATGAGAGTTTAAAAGTTGTGAAATAATTTGTCCATATAATAGAATTTTTAAAGGAAAGATAACGTGTAGTATGCTAAGATGTATGCTTTTTCACTCCTATTGTATTACATTTAGATGGCGTTTGGGGAAATTGGGAACAATGGGGAACATGTCTTCCTTCCTGTGACACTGGCCTTCGCCAAAGGTTCAGGTCTTGTGCAAAGCAAATTGGAACAATATGTGAGGGGCGATCACACGAGGTTCATCTCTGCAATACCACAGATGATTGCAGTAAGATTTTGATACATTACATTCATCGAGAAACTGCAATTTAGTTATAATAAGTTTGTATCATTTTACTTTTTTTTTAAACGAAGGTGGTAATAATGTCTCAGTTTCATACAGTGAAATATCAAATGAATGAGAGAGAGAGAGAGAGAGAGAGTAAGGCACTACTCGTATTTTCAATAGGTCCATTTTTGCATATTGTAAGTTACTAGACATATAAATATAACTTTTTTCATGTTTCATTTTCGTGACAATTTTGATGTGGTTTTTTTTGTTATATTAGTTAAAACATGTACGTCCATACCGGCAGATGGAGGTTTGACAAATGTTGCCTTTCGAAAAAAAGTTTTGCTATCTTCAAGCCACAAGATTCATATCGGCAGTAAAATGGTAAGATCTAGATTAAATACTGCGACATATTACAATTGTGTAATTTAAAAGTCCTTCATACGTTATAAACATGATTGAAGATGGGCTTTATGCAATTATAATAGAAATTGATATTCATGAACATTTTATGTATCAAAATTAAAACTACACCACTATATTTTATTCAGAATATGCGATAACTACCTTGTAGCAGCTTCAATTATCAAAACATAATACATTGGTATTAATTAATAGATATTAATAAATAATTTATTTTTCTATAGAAAATTAACTCATTTCGCAACTGAAATACCCCGGAAAGCTAACTAACTAATGTGTAGTTTCTTTTATTGATACATGCATTCTATATCTTAGGTTGACGGTAACCAGGATACTTTTGCGCATACAAATGATACGCATAGTGAACGAAATCCATATGCATTAGTTGATCTTAAAGACGTGTATAGAATATTTCATATTCGTATAGTCAATCGTAAGGACGACTGTTGTGGTATGTTTTAATTATATCTAATTTATCTCATGATGCAACAAATAATGACATTTTGAAACTTAATTTTTAGTTTATAACCTGTTCTGTCTATATTTCACATTACACATAACTTTAATTTTTTTTTATTTGGGATTCTGACTGACAAGTGATACCATGCATCTGTTTCATTTCGGTGATTTATTTTAGGCTTCAGAACTCATGACGTCGTCATTCAAGTCGGACTCGAGCCTTCCAGTTTATTTACTGTTGCTCGTCATAAGTCGGCCATAGGTGATGAGTGCACTTTTAGTTTCAAGCACCAAGTCAGAGGTCGTTACGTGAAAATCATGCTGGAATCTACGGAGGTGTTAAATATCGCAGAGCTTGAAGTTTTTGCGTGACTGATTTGAATTGACTTTGCTAGGTAACATAAGTGAACTGAGATAAACATAAGGAAACTATCAATATTGACCATCATAGTGTTGTATTTATTTGTTTGTAAAGGTTTTAGATTGAATTTTAGAGTTCATAGAATTTCAAAATAACATAATAAATGACAAATAATATCTAACTGTCGTGCGTGAAAGTACCATGCATTTTTGTACCTTGATATATTTAACCCTTTCAAAACATTTAGCATGTATTCAAATACTTGCTATAACTAACTTTAGACTAAAGTTAACTTTAATGTATATTCTTTTTATTTAGCTCAAATGAAAATTACGATATGTAAGACACCTTCTTCTGTTTTAGAAAAAAAGTCAGTATGCAATGTTTCTTTGATAGATTATATTTCCGAAATGAATCACGTTAAATGATAAATCTCACATCATTGACATTAATAGCTTGTCTACTTATTTTTAAGAGGTAATAACGATATAATATGAGATAAAGTATAATTATAACTATTGTTTTCTTTATCGTAGTTGTATTTAAATATACAAGCTTTGCTTTAGCACTAGCAGTCGTGAGGAAACAATATGTTAAAGATTTGTGCATTTGAAGGTTTCCATGACTGTTTTCCTTTCAAAGACAGACTACGGTATTTCAATAGTGCATGCACATTACCAATGTCAATAAAACAGATATAATATAAACGTGTTCAAATTATTTAAATTTTGAACAAGGAAATTTAAATAGGAAACAGCAACAGCGTTATATCAAAAGTTATGATTTATTTTTTTATAAGCTGGTGAATATGACTAATAAATGTTGTAATTCCAAACTGATATTTCTCGTTTTGTCTTTTAATATCTGTTTTTGAAATTAAAGGTAAATAATAGTAGATGTTAATGCAAAATGGTAAAATATGATATAAGTGTCATGGCGTGAAGAAATTATGGTAAATAAATCACCATAGCGACTCATCATTAGCGTATTATAGAATTTAAATGTGTCTTATATCTAAATATCTTATATTTGTCCTGGTTGTTCGGGATCATAGGATCCAACAATTATAAATGTGGAAAATTTAGTACAATTTAAGCTTGGGTACGTGAGGGATATTGCGCTTTTTCACAATTCCTTATGTAAAGACTCTATGAAACTGGGTCTGAAATGTTCATGAAATTTTGCTGGTTTTAATGTTTTCCAGTGAATCACTCTTGTCCAAATATTTAGTTATACATGAAAGGATATCTTTGCATGACCATAATGAAATATGTGCGTCGGTAAATTGTTTACAATAAGTCATGCTGTTGTTCTTAGCAATCAGATAAGATGATTTTTTTTTATAATTGTAATATGTGCATAATATAAATACATAATATTAAAGTTGAGTATATGGCACCGACCCATTGAACATGTATATGTCACAAGGAAGTTAAAGAAATGGTTATTTCATCAATATGTGAAGCGTTATAATAATTATTAACAAAACAAGGCTTACTTTATTTATTTATTTCTTATTTAATTAATTAGTAATTTAAAACAAATTATTATAGAATGTGAAGCGCTGTATGATTCTATAAAATGTATGAATATGTTTATTGAGTAAAAAAGTGCTGTTTAAAATGAAAAAAAAACAACAACAAAACATTCCGCCATGAAGTTTGTTTTTCCACGAGTCATGTTAGTTCACCACTTTACTGTTAATTAATTAATTTTTTTATTATAATATCAATGATAGTTCATTAAATCAAAAATAGTTTGTCTGTTAAATAAAAGACAACAGTAAAAAACAAAACAAAACAGAACGTTTACGTAATAAAATTAAATGCATAACGTATAGATAAATGTATAAACCGATGCAACGCATTTAACACCTATATAACGTTTTTGTTAATTGCTTTCTACATATCACATGTACATATTACATGATATCAAGGAAAGCTATATCAATATCTCGTAACACTGTGTCAATATTAAATGGATCAAATGTAAATATAACAATGTTACAAGAAATGATGTAGTTAGTTTTATTGGATTTTACGTCTCACATACACAATATAGGTCATATGGCCACGTTCAAGCTTTTACTGGTGGAGCAAGACCATTCCGAACACTATGTAAGGTGCGAGCGGACACCTGGGTAGAACCACCGACGTTTCGTAAGCTGGTTGGATAGCTTTGTCAAAAGAATGATTTCAAAGTCCCTGATGACGTTCGAACCAACAGCGTTGAGGGGGAAGTGGTTTGAACTCCTTTACGACCTTTATCACTCGGCTATAGACGCCCCTTCTTATGGTATAGTAGAAAGGTACACACCAGGTACACACCTGGTATACGACAAGAATAAATTACTGTTGATCATTAATCAAAACCATTTCTATATTGATAAATGACTTATGGAAAGGTCAGTTTATAGATTCCGTATATGCGATTGTAGGTGGACAGATTTTCACAGATAATCCAGACAAGATTGCTGAAAAACACCCGTATTGAACACATATAGTGTGTACAATTTGAATATTACGATATATTGTATGGAAACACAAGATATTCACAGGCGAAAAATAGTATTTCAAAGGTACAAGGTTCAAGTCCCGGCCAGGTTGCATAATTTTCTCACCCTGTAACATTTGGCGCCCAGGTTGACTGAATATAGCTCAAAGTTATACTTACTTTGCTCTGTAACTCTTAAAAATTCAAAAACAAATTTCAATTAAGCGGAAAGTACGTCACGGTTCAAAACTGTTCACTGTTTAGGAGAAAAATGAGGCAGTGGCCGAATAGCTCAATGTATAAAATGTATAAAAGCGGTACTATCTTCTAAAGTTTGAACCAACAAGCCCAGCAATCCTTTAATAGCAACTTGGACATGTAAACCACTCGAGAACACAACGACTTTTATTTTGTTAATTTATCTTTTTTAAGCTATTTTGTAAAAAAATTGTCTTTTTCTCATTGATGTAGATATACCAGAATCACAATTTTCTTCCCTATCACGTCAACCTCTATTTTAATCTTTCGCAAAGTAAATTCTTTCAAAATCTGTTGTTTTTTCATTACAATGGCAAACTAGGTTTCAGTCATATCCCCTTTAGACCATTTTACTTCCACGTTTTACATAAACAATGATTGTAATGATGATGAACATTGTGTAAAACACTTCATTGTTTCTTTTATCCTTTATCTTAAAAACAATCTATACGGAAAGCGGAAAGAAGTTTGTATTATCCATTTTCGGATGATATGTTCATCAAAACAAACGACAAAAAATGCACTTGATGCCTTTTTGAACTAACAATATTTAAAAATAATTATATGTATTTTTGCAAAACCAAAATGCTACGTCATTAAAGGAGTCCTTTTTCAGTATATGGTAAGGAAAAATAAATAAATTAACAACCAGTAGCTTCTATTTTAAAATACAAACCATTTCCTGCCTTTAACCTAAATGTTTTGTTTGCATTAAGTACTTTCAACTTTTTATCGATTTAGCTTCTATATAACAAAAACTAGTTGCATCATTTCTGTTTTCCACTTTATTCAAAACCTCAAAAGTGAATCTCATTCAGGCCCACTGTATTTCATTTAAATGCGCATTCGTAAATTAAATTGAATAACTTGTAAGTATAAATTGTTCTGCAATTAATTTTTAAAAATTGCTATTAGATAAAGTTACCTTGGGTCTAGTAATTTGGTAACTTCAATAAAGTGTGGATTTTTCACAAGGCTGATTGGAAGGGCTTTTCCTACAATTAACTTTAATAATGCATCGTCTAAGTTGGTTCTACTCTTCTGTATAAGACGACCAGGGTTGGCAATCAGAGCCTGAATTGTTGGCTGGGTGGGTGCTTTTTTAATGTTATTATTGTCATCCTCAAAAGCAGTCCTTTTATGGTCGTGATCATTATGGAATTATAGAAAATTTGTTGTATTTCCTGGAAAATAGAGAAAGCAATTAAATTAAAAGTACATTTTATTTAACTTAAAAACATCTGAAGTTCTTCACAATAATGTATGGCTGGAGGTATGATTAAACAATCAGTGGCTGCATGTATGGATTCATATTCTACTAAAAAAAAAAGATACAAATACAAACTTGTTCAAGTTGACTTAAGAATTTAAGATGAATTAAATCAATACCCTAAGCCTGTGGGATAGAAAACCAGTTTTCGTAAATAACCCACTATTCATAATTTCATACCAGAAAATACACCAACATCCTTTAATTATGATTGAGTTATAAAAGCCCACTGTGACAATTTTCCATTTTCTACAACAAAATCCAGTCTAAAGATTTTTTTGTAAGCTCAGGTAAATAGGCATTAACAGATGCTTATCAATATCATATTGAAATTTGCTTTTTGCAATTTAGAATATGACGCTTTTTAGTGAGACCGCATATTTATAATAATACGAGTATTTTTGTTGACAGTCAAAATTCCCCCTTTTCTTCAAAGTATGCAAAGTTGGCATACCCGAGGGTATTGGTCCAGAAATGGTCATTATGGCCCATTTATAGTTAAAAGAATACAATATTTAAATATAGCTTTGCTCTTAATTTACGCAACATTTTACCTTTATTAGCGTACGAATTTTTGCAAAGTTTACAGATGGCTGTATTCATGTTCAAGTTTGCTTTTATTGCTGGTCCAAGCCCCTTTTTCGTAAATCCAAAATACTTCCACACAATGGATCGCGTTTTTCCTGGGTAATTGAACAAGACCTGGTCCTCATGTTCCATATTTTTGTTAGGTTTTCTTGCGATAAGTTTTCTATTGCATGCTGCGAGTCCGACGCCATTTTTTTCCGATACAGTGATCTCCCTTGTGAGCCGTTTAAGTAACAGGAAGAAAAAAAAACTACCGACAATCGATTATTAAATTCGCATTCGATTGCCGCCGACCTCGCCCTTAAACGATCAATTTTCGATTATACTCGATCATCGTTTAATCCCTAGTTAAGCATTTGGGCAAAGTTAACTGATTTAAAAACAAAACGATCAATCTACATCTCAAAAATACTTAACGACAGATAATGGTAAAAAATAATTTTTAAAGGGCGAGAATAGCTTTAGTGATTGAATTGAAAGAATTTCCGACAGAAACATGGCAGGCACAATGCTGCGAAGATCTTTTGGTTCTTTAATCTTACTTTTGCAATTGCTTATACATATATTGTTTGAATCTTTTATTGAAATTATATTTTATCACCGTTTTAACAGACAATCTTGTTTACTTTTTGCTAAGTTAATTGTTCAGCAGACCGATTTAAAACGTTAAAAGAATGTATTACCTGTCTGCTTGAAATTTACTTCCTTCGTAATACTATAATAATAGAGCAGACATGTTGTTTTAGTTTTAATTTTGAAAAGAATATTTTTTTATTTTATCTGAAATAGAATCAAAATATTTAAAGCGCTCAAAAATGAAGAAGGAAGCTTTGAAAGTTAGTTAAATCGAAAAACAAGGAGAAGTAAAAAAGTCGTTTGTTTCCAATGTCCCGACCGACCCTATTTTTGTCGCCGACCCTAGACATATTAACAAAAACAGGCCGCATTTTTTGTGACTCAGTAATCAGGTTTTTTGGCGGCTTCGGCGACGAAATAGTCTTCTTGTCTCTCTCCATTTCGCCTTGTTTGTTTAGACCAATTCGTGAAATACTTTGCGCATAAATTCGTCGGTTAGTCATGTTGATATATGCTGTTTTGCGCCAAAAGTTAAAGTCACACGTTATGATTTTAACTTTTCCGAATGCAAAAATGGCGCATAAAATAACCCAGACGTAAAAAGATAATAGTTGTGAGATGTCCGTTGATTATTCTTTAAATGAGTTTCTGTGAGAACAGTTGTTAACGAAAGAAGTTAAATGATCAGTGATGACTGTTGCTAGCGAGATGACCTACTATAAATTAGTGTAAATCGAAGTATTTTAAATGAAATTAGTTGTAGTTTGATATAATTAGAAGATAACCTTTTTACAGTACACATGTTAACTAGTCGGACAGTTGTAAAATTAACCTACATTAAACTAATTTAGTAATTAACCAGGGCTCTGCAGTGAAACCAATGTCTGGTATGATATTTTTTGGAAAATATTGAAAATGATAAATCAAAAGATTTTCAATTATACTATTGATTTACAAAAATAAAATGTTGTATTTTTTTTATTTTAGCAATGTGCCACCTAACTGCAGTGACCTAATGAAAACAAGGCTATTTAAAAAGGTGTGGTAAAGATATTAGAGAAGAAAAACAAGGCTACCTGCATGCATTTAATTTTCATCTCCTTGTCCTTGCAGGAAAAAACAAATACGACATGTCAAAATAAATGTAGTATTCACATTATTGGTTGTATATGGGGTTTCTGTGCTTGAAATGATAGAATTCTATTTCCTGATATAAGAATATTTGATATTTGTTCATGTTTTAGATAGCTTTGTCAGAATACAGGATATACAATTAGTAAAGCTCAATTCTCGTGAATATAAGATCATTTACCACGTTATTGTGGTTAATCGAATAATTTTAAGATTCTTGTGATCAGACTTTGGAGATTTCAAACAATCAACCAATTAACCCTGATTTTTGCAGACCGTTTGCTTTCAAGTCTGGTAATTATAATTTAACTCGCAAAATCCTTCACTTATCTTTTGATGTGCTGTCAGATATGGCTTTACAATAATGGCAAAACATTTTGTGTATTGAAATATGCAAGCAGCATGTGAAATATTAAAGTTCTGTGTGTCCATCCCATCCTGGAGGGTTACCACAAGTATTGCAGCCATCTTCTGATATGTTTTTATACTGAAAACATATTTCACACCATTTTAATTTGTTTTGGTAAATAACCCATTTAATAAAAAACTTATTTCATTGCACTGCCATGTAAATTCATGTTTAAAAATAAGAAAGTCAATTATAGTATTCAAAATTGACCAATATATTTTAAGTGATTTTTACCCAGGTGTATATATCAAATTATTATGGTTTTAATCGCACATGCCTGTTTGTCTCTAATATTTTGATGACATGAATTTTTTATACAATTTGCCAATTCCTGTTTTATTAATACATAAAAATGTATGATGATTACTCTCATTTCAAAATTCAAAACAAAATACAAGTGACCTTTTACGGGTGAGATCGTGTTGTGAAGGTTTTTCTCTCTTTATAATCGTCTAGAATCTTGTTAGGTCGATTTTTTTACTGCCAAAGTTGTTAATAAGACGTAGTAGATAGAACAATACAATTCTACAATGCAAGTAAGAATGACAAAGATGACGACATTTCATTTGTATTATTTATTTTTCTGGCCTAAAAAAATGTTGTAAATCTATCATGAGAGTATCAACTTGTCAGTCTTTATTTAGGTTGCACATTGTAAGATTGTTTAGACTTTTAAACTTTTAATGATGCCTGACAAAATAATTTATACAGGTAAGTTCATATTTTATCTTTAATTCTGTTATAAATCTAAATAAATCTAATTGTTCTTAATTGGTCGAATAAATTTATGTCAGTCAAAGTAACTGATTAAAATCATAAGACGTATCTAACATTTTCATTTTAAACAGTTTATACGTTTTCCTCTAAATGTTTGATTTTTCTTACTGCATTTTTAAGCTAACTTCTGAATTATTTCAGGTTCATTTTTGTTTCTGCTTCAAGCCTTCTTCAGTAAAGGTTTGTTTCTTTATTTAGTTTTCTTTATATACTGTATTGTGCTATGTGAGGCAATGTTACGCAATTGCAAATGAAAATGATTGTTATACGTGTAGTTTAGTTTCAAAAAAACATAGTTTTTTAAAAATCAATACATATCATTTACTTTGATATTGCCATTAAACCTAGGTGTTCTAGTTTTGAATAGGTTTATGGTTGTCTAGGCGTCATTGTAAATCTTCGTCGTAATTTTTTGAGTGTTATCTTAACACATGATTTTTCTGAATATATCAAAAATTTAAAATAGTAAAATAATTATTAAGTGTTTACATACAAGGGTTGGACAAAATATAATGCAGAATGGTCAAAAGAGAATTTAAAAGCATTTTGCAATTTTGTCTTTCATCCCTTTGAAATTATTACTTTATTTTATCCAATGTGTGATCGTAAAACATAGTCCTTGTTTAAAACGTTTTCTAATACATCTAACAAAATCTTTAAACAATATCTTGTGGTATAATATAGCATTTGACATGTTTTGATGTATTATGTTGCATGAAGATAACATTAATTTAAGGTTCATTGGTGTGCAATAGATGTAACAACAGTCAAAGTTTAGATGAATGTAAAGGCTTTGTTCTATGTGGAGAAAAACAAGTATGCATTTACACCTACTCTTTTGTCTCTTCTATTGTTCAAAAATAGATTAACAATTTGAAAGTGCTTTAAATTCTTTGACATATATTATTATGTTAATTTCATGTCGAAATGATACAATAAAAAAGTTTATCAAATATTTTGTCGTGATTTTTGAACATTTTAAATTTTGTTTTGTAAATTATTATGATTTTTTTTCAGTCATGCTTTACACAAATTAAAACCAAGGATGAACATATTACATACACAATGGGCTGTACTGATAATCAGGTAACACTTGCTTATCATCAATGAGATATTGAAGGGTGCATGAGAGCGGTATTTATATCGTTTATCTTTTTTTAAACAATTGGAAAATTTTGTCAACTTCCACTTTTTCATTGAAAAGATACTTTTATGGATCCTAAAGCATATGTGTTTGTTTCACGGTAGGAATGTTTCCTGATTATACATGTTATGTTACTGAAGTCGGCAAACTGCTGCTAAAGAAACTGGGAAAATGCTGTACATTTCAGAATTGTGGCGTCATTCCAGAAGTTGATGCAGTTTCCAAGCTTAAGGCACTCCCTGTCAATGAATGTTACGAATGCTGTAGAAGTTTAGGATGCAACTTACATCTTTGTAAACATCCAAAACGTATGTAATGTTTACATCTTACTCTAGTAATAGCTGATGGACTGGTTTGGTTGCAAGTTTGTTTGGGTATAAAGGTGATTCTAACACATAACTTGTTATGTAATAACGCCGAAATATATATAAAAAAATGTCTAAAATGAGTCAGTACAAGTGAGTTTTTTAAACCTTAGACTAAGTTTACTTCCTTTTAACAATCGAATGAACTGTTACTGAAGTTCTCCAAGTGAATTGGCTCGATAACGAACGTTTGACAAAGTATGGCATTAACACGTTTAACAATGAAATATTTATAGCAAGCCATGCACAATGGAGAATCGTCTCCTGTTAAGAATGTGAAACTGTATTATGTTTAATTCTACATCTTAGGAGAACAACTTGAGTATCACGGTTTAGCAGAGATAATGATAGCAATTTATCAAGATAAGGGTTGGTACCATGAAGTTTAGTAAAAAATACAGCTTTGTCCCGATTGATGTCCGCCCAGATTTGATATATCTATTCTGTAAGAATTTGAAATCACTATTCGTCAACGATAAAGAAATGATTGCGAAATTAAGGTTTATTTAGCAAAACAATCTTCTCTTTAATTTTCTTCTATTTATTCTAGCTTGGGATCAAACATTGTTTGACAGTTTAGCATTTAAATGTCATTAAATCGCAAAATAATTAATTTATTAACTTTAATATATTCGAACTTTCGATATTTTATTTATGATTACACAGAGAGTGAATCGGAAAATTGACTACATAATAACCATTATGCTGTAAATGTATGACAATGCTAAATTAATGATTTTCGCTTTTGCAGTAAATATAGATGCATTTTTTAGTTTAAGACGAGATTAAAATTCAAATTCAATATAGTGGGGGAGTATGTCACGGTTTCAAAACTGTTCAGTATTAAGGGGAGTAGATGTGTAAGCGGCCGGGTAAAACAGTCGGTAGAGCGGTTCAGTATTCTGAGGGTTGCGGGTTCGAAAAATCATTTTTCTTTCACTGTGACACATGCTTAAAAAGCATTAACCTTATTTGTTATTATTATGTTAAAGTCTATGTCCAGTATGAACAAGTTAAGTTGTCTGAACATAAAATGTTTAGACATATTGTAATGATCTATTTGGTTTTATTCAATGAACACTATTGTTACAATCCTTAAAATGTGAGCAAACAAATCAAAGTATAAAACATTCGTGATGGTATCAAGCAAACACTTGACAGTGCTTAACAAAATTGAATGTTACGAACACTTGTATTAAGTTTTAAGACCTCAACTTTTTTTCAGCATCACTGTGTCAGGATGACAAAAGCATGGATTGTGCAAAACTGAATGAAATGTTTGACATCTGTAAAGACATTCATGATGCTAAAAAGATATGTCCTAGCTTCTGCAACTTGTGCCGATTAGGTATTATTAATTTTTTTTTCACAAAGTTTAAAGACGGTACATTTTAAAGAGATTCAAAATCAATTGATTTACTTTACCTACAAAACAAAAATGTTAAAGCTTAAATTATTTAAATGCTTGTTTTGGTCCTCGATAATTTTACTGCAACAAGGATTATGTTTTAATGTTTTTTTTATCTATCAGTTGATGGTAATTGGGCAGATTGGTCACGATGGTCAGAATGTGACGTCACATGTGGAAATGGTAAGCATACGAGAGTCAGAACATGCACAAATCCAGCACCGGCTTACCAGGGTTTACAATGTTATGGGAACGGTATCGATTCAAAGCCTTGTCAACGACAACTATGTCCAGGTACTTGTCAGTTCCACACTTAAACAAAACGCATACTTATAATCCTTTGCTGAAGGTCAATTAATATCAGTTATATTTAAAATATAAACGAATCAAATTTTTGAATTAGTTCTTAAATTAGATGAATCAATTTAAGCTGTACTTGCAAAATATTTTCAGCTCATATGAAATATATATTATACAGTCCACGGCAGATGGTCAGCATGGTCTCTATGGAGTTCTTGTCCCGTAACTTGTGGTTTAGGAATGCAAAAACGTTACAGAAACTGTTCGAATCCTTATCCATCGCGCTATGGTGATCATTGTTTCGGGGATCCATTGGAATACAAAATTTGTTTTGAAAGGCTATGTGATGGTATATTTGCAATTCTTATATATTATGTAATGGTATATTTCAGTTTAAATTTGTGGTTCATTTTAGTAAGTTATAAGACATCGGGCCCGGCCTTCACTAACGTTCTCAAACTAATATAAATCTCAACTTAAGATTGTCTCAATATTTACTGAGATTCTTATTCACCTGAGAAAATTCTCAAGTTGGCTTTCACTGAACTTTGTTTCAACATTTGAAAATTTTCGTAACTAAGACTGCTTTTTTCTCAAGACATAACTTAATCTTCATTCTTAGTGTGCATTGTTGATGGGCTTGTAAGACTTATATATGGAGTTTTTCTTTTTGTTACAAAGTATATAGTTTTTATTTTGGTGTAAAATGATGCAACAGGGAAATGTTTTGTTTATGTATCACCTAAATGACTTCAGATATATCTTTCTTGTTTCATTTATAAAAACAACAACAACACAAAACAACATCAAAAAGCACCAAGAAGCACATATGTGAATATTTGAATGCTCATGAAAATAATCTATCAAGAATGAATGTAGAATAGATTTTCATAATTTTTGCAAACAGTATGTTTTATAAAAACGAAACAAAATTCTCAATCAATTATATTTAGTATGATTATTGTGGCGTCATAATTTTATAACGTCATTTATTAAGGCCCATGATAATCAGTCAAGATACTACTTTATTATGAAATTAGTAGGAACTTTATTTGCAAAGAAGGTCAAATAATTTTTATTTTTCAAAATAACCATAAAGAAAGTAACAAAAAAAAAATATACGTGAGATAATTCAGCTTCACTTAGACATGAATCTGGGACAGCCATATATCTTAGAAAAATTTCAAGTATTAAAATTTCAATAACAATTCTGAGTTAAGAAAAAAATCAGATTTAAGCTGAGATTTTGACTCTGAGAACGTTAGTGAAAGCCGCACCTGGTTTTTGTCCATGCCTGTTCAATTGTTTTTGTGCCAATAAGATAATAGCGTACTTATATTAATATAATACATTTCGTATAGATAAAAGTAAGAATCGATCATAAAATAAGATAAGAACATGACCACTTTTAGACAAATACATTTATCATCAAAATATCATATATTTTGTTCCTTTTACGCAACATGTTTCAAATAATAAAGACTAATTTATGCTTTAATACACAATTAAGATGGCATTTGGGGAGATTGGGAGAAATGGGGATCGTGTAGCGCCTCCTGCGATAGTGGCATACGTCATAGGTCAAGATCATGTAAAAACAATGTTGGAACTATGTGTAAGGGAAGCTCGTTTGAACTACAGTCTTGTAAAATACAAAATTGTCGTAAGTGATTTTATAAATTCACAATTTTATATTTTTAAACACTTTTACGATAATTAATTCATACAATTTAATCCTACAGAAAGTGTAATAAGTGTCTTTTTTAAATTATTATTTATCACAATTTACTGTTTGAAACATTTGTGCTGTATTCGTTATTGTATGCTTTATTCGTTTTATTGGAGGTGAGTTCATTTACATTATTTGCCCATAAAACTATTTAGACTGTCTGAACAAAATAATTATCTGTTTAAGCATTTCAAACAAAGTCTTTGTTTTAATGATCATGGCAAGTGAAACGTTGAAACAGTCATTCATGATAGCTTTATGTAGAATTTCATATATAGTGTTAAATTGTATTACGTTGGTACAAAATTACAAAATAATGTAACGGATGCATCTGTAACCTTTTGGGCATATTTCTTATTCTTAAGTAATGATTTCAGTAACATTACAAACTGTGTGATGTAGTTTAAATAGTAGGCTAATTTACATTTTTAAATCATAGCTTGTCAATCAATCCCAACCATTAAAAATGGTGTTTTGGAGCAGCAGTCGGAATCACCATCAGATATTACTTATAAAGCTAAATGTAACGATGGATATCAGGTATCTAGTATGATACAAACTGTTTGTGACAAAAAATCGGGATGGCCAGATATTCCAACTTGTAATAAAGTATCATGTGGAAAACCATTAATTTCGTTAAACGGACAACTTCGTTTTACAACTGGAGTCACTTTCCAAGAAATAGCTGGTTTTGAGTGTGTTGGTAGATCTGTTGCCTATGGTAATCCTACTTCGACTTGTTTAGCTGATGGAACATGGTCAAGACCTCTTACCTGTTTGTATCCTGGTAAGGAGATTTATGTTTGTAAATTTAAGTAAACGAATTTGAGTCTCTTAATTTCATTTAAAGAAGTGTATTTCCTCCGCTTTGAAGAGTATTCAAATAGGCTAGAGCTACAGTAACTGTAAACTTTATTAAAAGTAGGGCGGTGGGTTCAAACCCCAGAAGTGTCAACATAAATTATATTGTCTTTCTTTTATTCTTCTTTTAACATTATTTATTTATCTCTCATATCCCTTTTGGGAGGAAAGTACCTTTTTTAATTATGATTATTAAATTTATATAGTTATTTATTGCCTGAATAATGATTATTCTTATAACAAATATGGTACCTGATACTTTTAAAGTTTTATAAAATCCAAATTACAAGGTGAAAGTATTTAATATTTTACAAGATCAACAAATATACTTTTATACAAAAGTAAGTGAAAACTTGAAACAGGTACTCGTTTCGGTAAATATAAGGGATTTTTAAACTGTAGTTCTCTAAGAAAAAAATCAAACCCGTGTTAAAAATTGGTGGGTTTAGGTAACAATTGTATACATATGTCATAAATTTTGCATACAGTCACACGGCGACGTTCCAGCTTTACTGGTGGAGGAAGATCTCAGGTGCCCTTCCATGAATTATTTCAGGCAAGAACGGGCACCTGAGTAGAACCACCGACGTTCTGTAAGCTAGCTGGATAGCTTTCTCACTTGAAAGAATCCAAAGTTCCTGTCGGGATTCGAACCCACAGCGGTGAGGGTCAAGTGGTTTGAAGTCAACGACCTTAACCACTCGGCCACGGACGCCCTTGTAAAGGTAGTCAGTAGAAAGAACACAATTAGAGTACACATCACATAAACAAATTTCAAGAGAGACAAAAAATGCAATATCTTTAAGTTTATATGCATAATCATAGACAGTAAGTAATAAAGAAAATAAAACTTGAATAACAAATGAAAGAGATTACACAAGGTTTCGAACCCATCAGCTGAAATCACATTCATACATGTCTTACTTACTGTGCTATAGTGTCAAACGATAATAATATAAAATATAATTTGTCTGACTTTTAAGTAAACAATGTAACAGTTGATATTTGGTTAATCACTTGCAGTTTATCTATGTTTACCCGAGTTATTCTTTAATGGACAGTGCTTGTATTTTTGGAACTGACTATACCTGCCTCAGTGAGCCAACAAAAATTCCTTTTATTTTAAAAAAGTAACACAGGCAGAATATTCATATCATCTTTGCGTGTTGTATAAAGTCAGAAGGAGCGTATCTTTTTTTTATATATAAGCATCTTATGCCAGACTTTATATTTAAATTATAAAACCTGTGTTTTAACAATATGTCGCATATTTCTGTCGTCTAGCAGCGAAGCGAATGAATAGAAAGCATAAGGCCCTTGAAATGGGGAGGTAAAAAGGTAAAGGTATAGATGATTTACAAGAATATTTGGGATATCTGTTGGCCAAGCAGATTTGAGTACATAGTCACAAGGGCAGAATAGTTGTTTCTTTCATAAAATGGAATAATTTAACCGAAGTCTGCGTATGAGATGATGTAGAAATTAATGTCAAATTTACATTTAAAATGGCTTTCATATCATGTGTTTTGTTAGTTAGAAGGTGTGTGGCGAAGCCAGAATATAACAGAAATTTCACAAATGTTGCTTTTGGGAAAAACGTCACATTATCATCATCGTACTCTGCTGAATCTATTGGTGCAAACATGGTAAGTTACGAATAAAAACTGTCACATTCAGTTAAATTCAGTAACTGCTATATATGCAACAAAACGTTATATGCTTCAAAAGGATTTCAAGCCAGCAATTGGACTAACTGGAGATACATTTTATAACAAAACTATATCGGAATTTAAACAGTTTTGTCAAATTAGGCTAAACGGCAAAATACCAATATAAGTATAAATTTAAAATAGCTTTCATCATATACATTAAATTAATAATATATGCTATCTCTGTTCTAGGTTGACGGCAACTATCTTACCAGAGCAAGAACGCAATCTGGGCAATATCCTTCTGCAATAGTTGATCTAGAGCAAATATATACAATACATCATATAAATATTTATGAGAACCAGTACAGGTGTATGTTTTCTTTTGATGTTTAGAAGACTAACTTTATTTAAGCTACTTAATTTAAAAAAAAAGAAAAAACAAAGTTGTGACAAAATTACGGAAGACAAGCTCAAGTCAACACTTGAATGTTGACAAAATTGACACCTGTGTGTCACTTAATAATTTTACTTTAGTTTGCATGTACTTTAAGGTAAATTTAAAACATTAGGTTTCATATTGGAAGTGTATTAAAACTAGATACCTTTATCATAATCTATCTTAAATACGAACGCTATTGACCCATTTTGCAATAAAATCTCTTCTATAATTCTTTTATTGTAGCATACCTTTATATACAAGTCGCTGACAATGTTTCTTCCAAGTTTATAAATGTTGCCCATTTGGGTGAAGCCTGGACTAACTGCACGTTTCGTTTTGAGAACCCAGTCAGAGGTCGTTACGTGAGGATAAGTCTTGGAGGATATTTTTTAGAAATCGCAGAAATGGAGGTGTACAGTAAATCAAACAATGATTTGAATTGAAATGAAAAGTTCTTTTATAAGCAATTATATACATGGTTGGAGAAATCACATATTACTTTGAGAAAGTATTAACTTAACGTTTTTACTATTGAGTGTCTAACAAAGCGGTATACATTACATTTCATAGTATTTATGTGTCTAATCGATAATACTTGCAAAACATACGGCAAATTTTAATTACCAATGTCACGTCATTTTACAAAATATTTTACCTAAAACGTGAATAAGTCTTAATTAACTCAATGATAATTTATATAATGCATGCTTGTATAATTGTTATGCCCCATACATCTTAAGTTTTTTAAAGACCTTATTTACTGTCTATATTTAATAAATAGTTTGCTTACGTATACTTTATATTAATATGAAACTTTTTAATATTTTTATTTTAGGAATTTGAATATCTTTATGTAGATGTAAGTATACAATGTCAATAATACAAATAATACATATGTTATAGTCTTCATATATATTCTCATATTTTACACTTTTTGGCTTTTAATATTCAAGGTAAATATTGCCGCAATTTAAAATCATCCTACATGTATTTTGTATTTGGTTGGAGCGAAATGAATGAGATTCTTTAAATTGAATAATAAGCATACTTGCAACAACCATGCCGATGAATTTCAATTCTTAAATTATATATATAAAATATGACATTTCCTTGTTTTAATATTGAATCCATGTTAATCGTATGTATTCAAAATAAATTTCTTTCACTTGAGTAGTTTTGTTACATTTTAAATTATTGGAGAATTATTATGTTTTGTATTTTAGAAAAATTTTGTTTCTTATTTTGTTATCTCATACATTACTTTTAACAGAATTGGAAATAAATTATCCGTTGTAAATGAAAGATAAAGAAAAAAAAAGGTAGATGATACTGTGTAGATATAAAAAGACTTGTAATAATATATCATATCAATCATGTCAACAATGTTAACATATGTGGAAGGTTTTAATTCCATCATCGGGACAGCAAATGCATATAATGCTCCGATAAAATATATTATTTTCTGGAGTTATCATGTTGTCAATTTAAATTAACAATAATCATATGCTAACTTTATGATATGTACACAAAAGAATAAATATCTTTTTTTTTTCATCTAAAGAAAAATACGAGCTTTTCAAGGTTATGTTGTTAAATTTGAAGACCGACAGACCAATATCTAAGCTGGATAGTTTAAATTTTATTGGGGGAAACAAAACAAAACTATTTGTCTCTAATATTTTTGTATCATAACGTATTTATTTATTGACTTAGCGACAGTCTTCTCTCGTTCCGGAGTGACAAACCTATATTTTGTAATGAATTTTGATCAGGAAGTTGGGCAGTAACAAGTAGTGACGTGTATATCGTATGCATGTGCGAACTGGTAACATTTATCAATGCGTCCGTAAACGCTAATGCATTACATCAAGTGACCATCATTGACGTTCGGTGACATCCGGTAGCGGATTGATTTGTTTTGTTGTAGAACATTATGATGTGTAGTGTACTTTGTGTCCGAATCTGAATTTATGGAGCGTGCAGTTTTTGAATCAGTGTTTTTTGTATTTGATGAATAGATTTTACTTATTTTTCCGAAAGTTAATAAATGAAATTGATATTTAAAATTTTTATACTTTTTGTCACTTTTACTCTTAATATATGCCTAAAAACCTGTTATTTTTCAAGAATGTATGTTGTATACATGATCCAATATTACATATATTTATTTAACATATAATTGAATGTTCCTGAACAAACTATTATTGTTTTCATAATATAAGCGGGGTGATCGGGAAGACTGACTATGAAATAACAAAAATCTCATAATAAATGATTACCATATAAACTTAAGTTTCTTCTTTGCACACAGTATATAAGCAGTAGGTTTACTTATTTAAGAACACATTCAATGATATATAATGTAAAAATAACGTAAAATAACGTCAGAAATTTGTTCTGTCATAACACCGTAGATCGCATTAATTTTCAATATCACTATAAACATTTAGCTTCTGTATCAATTGTTTTCCTCTTTCTGGCTGAGAGGTTTTCTTTTATTTTAAAGAGTGAGACGTTACCGTTAACAATCGGGTGATCGTAAAAGGCGACTAAATGGACTTGAATTATTATTTTGAGTCTTTGCATCTTTGAGCTCCTGTTGATGAGATCGTTTTGACCTATGGTGTTACTTACAATTTGTAACATCCGAGGTTAGGCAAACGCATCTATCCTGTTTTGGCGAAATATGACTTAAATTGTATCCGTGAGCCGTAAAAACAAATAACACAAACAAACTTAATCCGATGTAACAAAACGGTTAGCGTCACACCGACCGAGCGTATTCATACGAAGATCGTTGGCGTTCTCAAACCGAAAACCTCTAGCTGTTTTGGAAAACAAACGGCACACTTTAAAAACAAATGAACCCTTACGTCACTTTTAGATGTCATGCTTTTAGAAATTGTTGTTAAAAGTTTAAGAAATGGCTTACGACAGCAGATAATTTTGAGAAGTAATACGCCGTAAAGCAAAATGACAATCGGTTCGAAAAAAATGCCTTATTTTTGACGGGTTCCAGTACCGCTTAGGCCCGTTGCTATTAATACTATAAATTGTAAATGTTTTGAAAATACACGCTTATAATAATTGTTAATAACAGATTTTTGAAGTTTTATAGTAATGCAAAATATATCAATGACGCTTAATGAAAAGTATCAGAATTTTACAAACTTCCGTCTAAAATAGTTGTATCGCAAAAAGATTTCCTTGCAACATTTAGCACACAGTATCCATAACTAGAAAAATATATATTGATTAAAAGTCATCTTATCTCCTTGAAATCATTGATTTATGCCATTTAATGAATTGTTTGAGCCGATATTTTGTTATTATGTAGAATTATTAAGCATTAACATTGATGAGAAAGAACTTATATCATATAGACTCACTCGATTTTGAAATTGTATATACATGCTTATATATAAATGTAAAGTTCCAAACAATACGTTTGTAAATTTTCTGAAATACAATGGGTTTCACTATTCGACTGTTTTTTTTGTTGTTGTTGTTTTGTCATATATTTCCTTTTTAAATGTGATGTTACATAAAATTCAGCTTAATCGTTGTAGATATATTGGCAATCGAATACAATTTAGTGTATTTTTAGATAATGCATGTGCGTTCATTTTATTCAAAACATTAGGTCGTATTATTGTAAAAGGACAATTATGTTGCAAAGTGATTTTTAAGATTTTTTTATCGAGCTCTTGCACCTTATAAAATATTATGAATATATAAGGAGCAATGCTCATTCATGATATCCTACCTCCCTCCCTTCCTACATTGAACACTATTGCGATCTTTCATTTCATGCCCCACGTTTGTTGCATTACTTTAATCACTTTAGTCGGTTACACCTTATATCACCTGATAAGGATCGGCTATAACACGTCTATTTACTTCAAATTTTGTAATTTTGTAAATCTGTATGTCAAATATATAGTAGGATAGCGATAGTTGTTTATTTAATTATTCATCATCATCAGCCAATTTAGTTTCTACATAATTTGTCTCAGTTCGATACCATAGGTAGCTTTAAGCTTATAGACACACTTACGTATTAAATTGCTTTTAAGACATCTTGGCCACTAGACAATGCAACGACTTTATTTTGTTTATTTATTTATGTTTTGTTAATTTTAAATATTTTTTCTTTATTGGTTCAAATATACTTAAACAATATTTTTCTTCCTATTCACGTCAACCTCTATTTAAATCTTTTGTAAAGTAAATTCTTTCAAAATCTGGTTTTTGTTCAGCATAATGCCAGACGAAGTTTTAATCAGATCTTCTTAATATCATTTTACTTCCCTTTAAGGATGTATTAAATGAACACTGATTGTAATGATGATGAACATTGTTAAAAATTAAAAAAAAATCTTTTATCATAAAAACGTTCTATAAGGAAACAAGGAAGATTTTACCAAGGGATGACGAGATTATTCAAAACAGA